TTTTTTTTTTTTTTTTTTTTTTTTTTTTTTTTTAAACACATGCTCGTTTATGAAAACAATCACCCTGGCACGGTCCAAGCATATACAGACAAATCTACTCTACAACACGAGGGGCTGCCAAAGGAATGGGGAAAAGCCTCTACTCATCCACTCAGCGGTTCCAGCACAGCCACGGAGGGGGAACGGCCGGGCGGGGGCCCCCCCGCAACGGGACACCCCGGCCGCGGCAGCACTCCAGCTGCCGGAGCTGAGAGCCGGTTTAGGGGACACCTGGCAGTTATCTTCATACACATCTCGGCTTTCGGAGGTAAAAACAAAAAGGTTTCTTCCAAATCAGCAGGAAAATTTAACGCAGAAAGGGAGGGCACCTCCCTGCAGCCCCTGGCAACAGCACCCACTGCCCACGGGGACCATCCTTAGGGGAAGGTCCTGTCCCCTCCCTGTGCGGACCTTGGTGGTCCCTTGGCAGGGACCCCCCCTCTATCCCCCTCCCCGCTTCCCCGGGGCGGCGGGAGGGTCCCTGCCAGGGGGGGTGGCCCCAGGCAGGGCTGGGACAGCAGGGGACCCCTCCGGAGGGGAGGGGGGTGAGGGAGGGCGCGGGGGGAACGGGCTGTGCGCTCCAAGGAGCGGGGGGAGAGGAGGTTTTGTACCTCATAGTGTCACTGATTTTGAAGTCCTGGAGCTAGAGCTGAATGAACAGTAAAAGCAGGTTAAATCATTAACCAGTTAGGGGATGGGGAAGCAGCTGTAAAAGGAACAGAGGAAGAAGGCCAGATTATTATTTTTGTTTTTTTTTTTTTTTTTCTTTCTTTTTCCTTGTCTTCTCTCATCTTGGCCCGCCGTGCCCCGATCACAAGCCCTGCTTGGCCAGCGAAGCGGACACTTCGTCGGCTAGCGTGGCCAGCTGGGGGGAGTCCACCATATTGATGCTGCCGGTGGAGGAGACGTTGCTAAGGCGGCGTGGGGAGGCATCTCCGGAGATGGTGGGGGACTTGTAGACAATTTCGGCGCCGTGGTCGGTCTTGGCTTTGGCGTTCTCACGGAAAGTCAGCTTATGAGTCTCAATCTGCAAGGAGAGGAGAGGGTGGTGAGCGGGGAGGATGCGGGACGTGTCCGGAGAGGCTGTTTTTTACCTGTAAACTCTCCACTCGGTCACTGCCGTGGTGTGGCTGGGAGAAGAGCTCAGTTCACTGGCCTGATGCCCCCAGTCCTCAGGCACGTCCCTTCCAGTTACCCACAAAGGGAACAGGAACAACCGGAGGGGAGGGCAGGACTGGAGCATCTGGGGACGCTGCCAATTCCTTCCCAAGCGCCCAGGCCCGGTGTGGCGGTGGGTCCCAGGAACACCCTGGGCTGCTCCCACTCCCCTGGCAGAGAGTTTTTTTAGGGAGTTGGGATCCCCATTCAGTGCATAAAGCTGCCCCTTAACCCACGGCCCAGCTGGGCACAAAATGCTGCTCCCACGAGCCAAACCCCTCTTCTCCCAGCGAGCGCGAGGGGAGGTGAAGCGGATGGGGTTTGCTACTTACAGGTGCCCTCCCCAGCCGAGTGCAAGGCTGGGAGCTGGCTCTCCGGGGGGGTGGGTGGCTCCAGCACCAGGGCCTGGAGCCCAGCAGGGTCTGGGCTCGGGGTCCGAGCAGCCTGGGGACGGGTCTTGTCTTCCTTGCCTTTCTCTCTCTACAGGTGAAGAAACCCGCCCAGGGCGGTGGGGTGCAAAAAACGCATCAGCAACAAAAAACAAGATCCGATAAATGTCAACCAGAAGGAAAAAGATTTAAAAAATAAAGAAAAAGAAATAGAAAATCAGGGAGAAAAAAAAGATCTGAAAAACAGGGCCATTCACTGCCTCATAGGAAGAACAGCAGCTGTCTTTGGAGAGAGGAAGGAAAGCTTTCCAGGTGCAGCGACGGAGAGCAGATGCTGCTGGCACAGGTACTGGCAGAGCACGGAGCACCCCGGCTCCCTGCGGGAGACCCAGTGCAAGAGTGGGACATGAACCAGCGTCTGGCCCGAAGAGCTGTGGACTCTGTGTCCAAACCTGGGTCGTCTGTGTGGCAGAGCAAGGAGGGGGCTGGGGACATGGGAAAGGCTGGGGAAGGGGCAGCAGAGCCGCCCACAGCCGTGCTCTGTGGAGGGTTGATGGGGCTCAACCCTGTCCTGTGCCCTCCCTGTGACCAGAGTCCCATCTCGGAGCAGCACTGCCCCAAGGGGGTCCCTGGGGCCGAGGTGTGAACAGGAATGGGCTGGGCAAGGGCAGCAATCTGAGGCAGCACCTGTACTCAAGTCACACCGACAGCCTCCTCCAGGGGTGGACTGGGGCAGGGTATGGGCGGCTGCCACACAGGAAGGCTGAGGCAGGGGATGTCACTGCTGATTTCACACCCCTGCAAATAAATTCCCCCCCCAAAGGGTGAATTCTTCAAACTATGGGCCAGTGAATGTGCCAGGATATGAAAGAATCATCACTGTAATGATAAAAATGATGGCAATAGTGAAGCACAGGGCAGTCTGATGCGTAGAGCAGCAGTGAGAGAAGGGTAAGGAAGTCAAGCGATCCCTCAGTCAGAAGCCAGCACACCGCCGGGAGATGAAGAGCTGGGAGGTGCACAGAGAAAACGTGGCCAAGAACAAAGTGCCAAAATACAGGAGCCGAAACAGAAGTTTCCCCTCCCACTGAGAGGGGGGGAAAAAAAAAAACAAAACCAAACACACGTTTGAAAAACAAGCGAGATAAAAACCACTTTTCCCCGGAGAAATTCAAGCATGTGTGTCACCAGGCTGGAGTCTCAACTCTGTGCTTGCCTGATGTCCCTGCTCCGCTGCCTGCAAGGGACATGCCTGTCCTTGAGGCCAGGCTGTGGAGGTGTCTTGCTTAGCTGAGACTTACTGTGAAGTCACCATCAAAGCCTCCACAGAAACGGCTCACCCCAAGTTCCATATTTCACCTGACCCGATTGGCTTTTGTCTTTCGTTTTAAATTGCCCCTGAATGCACACCCCTCCCTACGCAGAGTCCTTGGTCAGTCTCAGCTGAGAGACTCAGATGTGAAGTAGGAAGAGATCAGCTTTCTCCTGAAACGACGGCCTACTGCAAAGTCACCTTCTCTAAATAAAGCTAAGCCTTTAATGCTCCACTCTCCCTGGGGAACCAACACCTCTGCAGCAGCCTGAGCTGCCAGCTTTGTGCCACACCGCTGGGAGTAATCGGCAATGCTGATGGCTTCCCTTAACGTGAAGGTTGGGGACACAAACCTTTCTGCACAAACCTCGGAGAACAGCAGAAAGAGCAGGAAACCACAGGAGAGGATACCACTCACACTCACACTCATTCGGGTGGCCACGGGCCAGGAAGAGGACAGAGATTGCCACACCTGTGCTCCCACAAACGTCCTCGGGGCTGGCAAACGCAGCACGGGAGCCCCGGAAGGCCAGTTACCCCGTCCCTGGGCAGGGAGCTTTCTGCCCTCCGCAGGACAAGCGTGCACAGAGCGCCCCACGCTAGAACACGGGCAGCAAATCGTTCCAGGCTCTGGGGAAGAAGTGCTGCCAGGCAGGCAGAGGTCTGAGGGTGAGCTGGGGGAGCAGCACCTTCCCCGAGTCCAGACTCCAACCGCTCTCCGCTTGCACGCCCGCTCACAGGGCAGACAGACAGCCCGACCCTCGCAGCAGAACAGCTTGTCTGTTCTCAACCCAGCGCCCCTTTACCTTTTTATTTCCTCCTCCAGGGACGTGGCTGATGTTATCTAAGGACCCGATTTTCGATTGCACCTTATCTTTGAAGTCCAGTTTCTCAGATTTCACCTCCACCTGGCCACCGCCTGGAAGAGAAGAGCACGGGCAGGGTTAGCTCCTGTAGCAGCCAGGGCACGCTGGGGGAAAGCACCGAGGTCTGAGCTCAAGCAAAGCACTCCAGGGCTGAGCAGAGGGCGAGGACCAGGAAAACAGCAGCAAGAGCGACCCCACGGTGATCGGGGAAACCCAGGAACCAGGGTAAGGAGACTCTCCAAAGGACTGCTGCGCAGCGCTGACAGACACCCCGATGGTTTACAGATCCCAGGGCAGGGAGGTAACTTTACTCCCCTAAACACTATCAGTTCCCCCTGTTTATTCCTAAATACTTCCCATTTACAGTGATGTGTCAGCACAGACGGGTGCCCGTGGATTGCACCAGGTCCCTCCTCTACTACCAAGTGGTCAGGCAGACCAGAGAGGGTCTGGCACTGACAGAGCTGGGAACCAGCACCCCAGGGCTCACTGATGCTCCGGTCACTGTTCCATGTGCCTCCCCTCTCCCCCTGCACTCCCCCAACCCTCTCCCCATCTCCACAGGCACACCACGATGCAGCCTGTGAGCTCCCAGGGACCGGCACTCAGCGCTGACGAGTCAAAAGGTACCTGGTTTGTGATGGATGTTGCCCAGGGAACCACATTTGGATGTCACATGGCTCAGGTCGACTGGCTTGTAAACAATTTGAACCTGTCCGTACGAGAAAGGAAAAGGCAATGAGCTTATTGCCACCACGGGCAACCTGGGGAGGGGGAGGCACAACACACACCGGCACCTGATCTGGATTCAAGGGAAAGGACAGCTTAAACCCCAGTAAGATTAATAATACAAAAGAAACTGCCATCAGAAATGGGAGATCATTAATGCCCGTGTGCAGTAGCCTCTCTTAACATGTCAGCATGCACAAGATCACCTCTCCACAGAGGGGGGAAGTAGAGGCAATTTTAAAGTGCTTAAGTGAAAGAGAAAGTGGAGTGGTAATTAATTAAGATTTGCATACACATCATCCAAAAGAAGGAGATATACCAGAGAGAAAACGTAAAAAATAAATACCTTTTCTGGTGTAAAACATAAAGCTTATGTCCACAAAAACTGAAAGAACAGAAATGATCAATGTGCACAGAACTTTTAAAAGAGTGACCAAAATATGCATTTCTGAAAAATGCTGTAACGGAAATAAGGGTTAAAAAAAGGCAAAGCAAAGTCTAAATATCTGGCAGGAGTTCACATAATATAAATTAAAATGGCAATTACAATATACTGAACCACAAGAGTATTTCATGGTATTATGCTCTGGGTTTTTATTCGTTTTCCCCATCACGTCTCTGAACATGGGCTCCAGCAATTCCACTCGAGCCGCCCCGCTCAGAGCGCGGCCGCGGCGCTGCGGGTTCCACGGGACGCACACACGAGGGAGGTTAACGGGGAGCTGTTTAGTGGTTACGTTAGCAGTTAAACACCACACTGGAAAACACTAACGACTGGAGAGGTCTGGGACCATCAGGCGTGTCAGGGATGGCAGACTACAGCACATACACACCAGCCACATCACGAGCAGGAGACAAAGGGGTGAGAAAACATCCCCACGGCCCCAGACGTGACCCTGCACTCTGGTTTTGGACTCAGGCCTGTGTGTGAATCGGCTCTTGCTGTAGTTAGTGGGGCTGCAGGAGAAATCAGATCGACACCTCTGGGTCGGTGCCTCCTCACGGGGAAGTGTCTGGCTCCCAGGAGCAGCCTGGATTTCAAAGGGTGCGTACGCCGCTCTCTGTTCTCACCAAGCACCACGGCAGGCGTGCTGCTCTCACAGAGCTCGGGAAGGATGTGCTAGCACCAAAGGGATCTTTGCAGAGGAGCTGACTCCTCCAAGCAGCCAGGCAGTCTCCAGACCAACGTGGTCAAAAGCCAGCATGAAGGATTCACCGTAGCCTCTGCTCTCCATCGCTGACCCTGTGTTGACCCAAAAGCCCCAGGGTGAAGGTGCAACCTTCAGTTCTCACGTTGGCCCCATCACCCTCTGAGCTACGTGCGGGACCATGGCTGTGCACAGCACTGAGAAACACTCTGCCCTCCGTGGTGCAGCCAGGGAAAGGAGGAGGGGACAGAGGCTCGGTGCCGCCGTCCCAGCAGCACGGGGCCAGAGCACCGTGCACGTGGGCCTGCCTTGTCTCCGATGCTCACGCAGACCACAAGGCACATCTGACAGAGTGGAGACAAGAGAGAAGGGAGAAAAGCAACCTTGGGGTCTGGGAGCACATCGCAGACACAGACATGACACGTTTAATGCACTGGGCAGGAGGAGAGCTATGTTCAGTCAGAAGGCAGGAAAACAGACCCCAAAGGACAGCTGGCACCTTCCTCATCCCAGCCGTGACCCCGAAGGGCCTGTGAGCAATTGGGGCACCACTGGGACCTGGGACTGACCAACCTCCCATGTCCAGAGTGGGCCGTCAGCAATTGAAACACTTTCTGCTCTCATTCCAGTTCCCTTTTTCTCAGAGAGGGCTTCATCAATTCTCTGCTAGGGAGCAGAGAAGACTCCTCTCCATTTTAGCAAGAAAAAGGGCCACAGAGAGCTGCTTGCCTGGGAAACCAGTGCCAGAGACCTGGGGATCCCACCTTTCAGCACGAGCAATGCTTAGGTCAACTTCTGCCTAATGCATCACCTTGTCAGCGCATCCACTGGCTTTAAAAAAAAAAAAAAAAAAAGATACCAACCCCAGGTTGCTGTAGCAACAGTTCATTCCTCTGAAAGCAGCAATGGCTGGGCAGGCAGTCGCTGCCGACAGGCCGTGGAGGATTGAGACGTGGCAGCCAGGGAACGGCGGTGATCTCTTGTTGCCCCTCTGTCGGAGGAGCCCCAAGGCACCGCTCTGCTGCCACGAGCCTGCGCAGCCACGCTCCGGCCACGTCAGCACAGGGCTCTGCTCCGAGCACCCGCGCCCAGAGCTCAGCTGCTGCTTTCCGTGTCACGGCAGCCAGGCAGCGATCACACAATTTTCACTGCTGGCAGAGCCTGGGGAGGGATGACAACCTCCAGCCAAAAATCCAGATAATTCTTAACCCACTGCAGCCACTGCAGCTGCAAACGCTTGCCCATGGTGTGAGCGCTCAGCGGAGGGAAGGATGAGCTCACCACCCTGTGCTGGAGCTAATTACCAGCCACCGCACAGATGATTCGTGAGGAACGCTAACTCCTGGCGTAACAAGTGGTCCACCACGCACCAGGCAGTCCAGCCAGTGCAGGACCCTGGGGTAAGAAAGAGCAGAAGAAGCACGAAACCTGCTTCACAGAGGTCTGACCTGCGTAAAGCAGCTCCTCTGGCCCGTTAAATAAATGCAGAATGACATCAAATTTAAGATGGAGGTTGCAAACCCAGTTATGTCCCAATGCTTACGTTTCAAGCCCTCTGCAGTGCTCAGTTTCTCAGGGAGGGCATCCACAGAGATGAAAAACAGCACAAAGAAAATCCACCAGGAACATCTGAGAGGCACCAGATAGCTTCTTCAGATGGCTGCAGACCAGGCAACCACAGACCCCAGGTCGCAACGTTTGGGGTCTCAGTGATGCACCTTCCTCGGTCCGTCATCTTTCCTGGACCCAAACTCTGTCTCCAGAGAGACTGGTGTAAATCCGCCAACCTCTGTGGAGTTTCTCCAGGTTTCTGGCACAGTAACTGAAAGCTGAGTCTGGCTATGTATCTGGGAATAGCTGGAAATGCCAGCGTTGAAATCAATTAACTCAGTATTTCTTTAGGCTCAGCCTCCATGGGCACTGCCAGACACATTCATTAGCAGGGAGAAGTTTAATATTTGCATGGATCATACTTGCCTGATGGGAACGGGTGGGAACCTGCGCTTTCACGTGTTGTGCAGAGTCATGTCCAATTTAGCAGTACATTAAGCAACAAGGACTGCATTTGCTTGAAAATCTATCCATCTACTGCATCAGCATCTACGTCACTGTCTGCTAGGGGCCACCCACCCTGCAGACAATGAGGCATTAAACCTTCCAGGTAGTGTAAAACCTTCGAGTTAACGGGATGTTTTGTTACAGACATGGTTTCTACACAGGTCAGTTAGTTCTGTCCATGTCAGGCACGTACAGGACTGGTTAGGGTTGATCTAACCATGTCTGTTGGGTTAACGGGGTTACATGACAGCACGTCACCAATGGCTATCTGACGGCAGGGTCGCTGCAGATAGCATTGGCGATTTAGTGTATACAACATGCCACTAATAATGATTATTACAGTGCATTCAAAGTGTGAAGGTACTCACACTGCCTCCTCCCGGGATGTGTTTGATATTATCCTTTGAGCCACACCTGGATTGAACGCTGCTAAAGTCCAACTTCTTATTAACAATCTGCACCTTTGGTAGCCAGAAAAGAGTCATTGCACGTCACCAATAGCTATCTGACGGCAGGGTCGCTGCAGATAGCATTGGCAGTTTAGTGTATACAACATGCCACTTATTATAAGAACTATTACAGTGCATTCAAAGTGTGAAGGTACTCACACTGCCTCCTCCTGGGATGTGTTTGATATTATCCTTTGAGCCACACTTGGATTGAACGCTGCTAAAGTCCAGCTTCTTATTAATAATCTGCACCTTTGGTAGCCAGAAAAGAGCGTGAGAAACAACATGACCATCTGCAGCTTGACCATGCGTTATATCACTAAAACTAGGAACCTGCCTTCCAGTGCCAAGAGCAAAGGAGAATCTCTGGCTTGCTGCATAGATCTGTCTGCTCGTGGGTTGGAAACTGAAAGTGGGCAAGTTACAGATAGAGATTGGGTACATCTGGCTAGCAAGGCAGCGCCGGTTTCCAGGCCAGAAACACCAGCAAGCAAGCCAGCTCACCCCGTTTTCTTCCACAGAACAAAACGGGGAACTTGCTGGGCAGCAAACACGCTGGAAGGCACCAGTGCTCCGAGACTCAGTTTCTGCAGAGCCAGTGGAAGGAGGAAGGATGGAGCTGAGAGAAAAATGCCTGCTCAGCCCCATCTCCTGCGCCGGGCAGCGTGTCTCCTCTCTAGGACAGACACACGTGCCCTCATGTTTCAGCAGCTTGAGCAAACTGGGCAAAGGGGTGGACTGGCAGGGCAGCAGGCTGGAGAGCTGTGCAGGGCTCAAACTCCCTCTACAGTTACAAAGAGAAAAAAGCACATGCTGCCAGGGCTGCCATCCCATGCCTGCAGTGCTCTTAACTCCTCTATAGATGAGAGGAAAGGGGTGGCACAGACCACCCCAAAGGCAGCAGCATATTCCTAACGGGTGGGAGAGAGGCTGGAAATGGTTTAGTGCCACAGGGGAACCACATACCATGCCAACGTCACCCCCAGTCCCGCAGCCCGCTTGCCCTCTCGGCCACATGCAGATTTTTGTATTAATGAAGCTGTTTCCATTTAGGGCTTGTTTTCCCTAGTTGGGTTTTGTAAGGGCAGCTATGCTGGAGTGACCCCGCGCACAGGAGCGGCTGTTCCTGACAACACAAAGATGAAGACAGTCCCTGCTCCTTCCCCTACTTGGACTGGAGTGGCTTTGCAACCTACGCACGTATAAACCAGAGGTGAATGCAGGTGAAAACCAGCAGGCACACAGGCCTGTGCTCCCTCAGGAGAAACCCTGTCTGAAGCACAACCCCCATGAGGGGGAAAGAGACATCCTGCAAGAGAGCAGCATCACACTGCACGCCCAGTCCCCAGACGACAACGTCCCCAAAGCTGGCTGAGTGGGCATCCTCGCCCTCCACCTCAGCTTGTCCCCAGCCTGCTGCTGTGAGGAGAGCTCCTCGCTCTACCCTGGTTCTTTAGCATGAGAAGCACCAAGGCTGACGCGCCTCCAGCATCATTTTCCAAGTTCATATCAACTAATCCTGCAAATCAGGACCCAGTTCTGCCAGACCAGGCTTTGCCAGAGCAGTATTCAGTGATCCAGCAACAACAAAAGTGCTCAGGCAATGCAGAAATACTGGAAGAAATGTGGCCTGGCTGACACATATGTGCCCCATGTACCTTTGCCTCCCTAGGCTGGGGGTCTGAAATCTGTGCAGAGAGCAGGCTCCAGACCCATCTTCTGGTCACCCTAAAATCAAACTCATTGGATCAGCCCCTTCTGCTCCAGCTGTAATGGTTCTGTGTAGGACACAGTCTTGTGTCCTACAAAATCCCCAACAGAGTATCCAACCATTCTCCCCTGCAAAGAGCAATGAATTGTGCCAAATTCAGCTGCTCTTACTCTTTCAGTGACAACAATACACGTCACCTGCCAAAGAAGCAGAGGAAAAAAAAAACCAAAACCCAACACCTCGTAAAAGCTGGATTAAAAAGAACAAGCAACCAGTTTAAGCAATTTACAGCAAATGGAAGGGTTCCTTCTGAAATCCCTAGAAAAGCAGCGTTTTGTGGGGGTAGCAGGAAAAACTTAACACCTTGTGCTAAGCAGGTGGGAGGGCTGAGGCCCTGGGACATGGGCAGCTGGAAGGACACGTGCTACTCTGCTCACAACCCACAGCCCTAGCAGCCCTGCCCAGGCTCCAGAGCCCCCCTGGATTGTAGCACAAAGCAAAATGTGCATTGTCCGGTAAATCACCAGCCACAGCGAAAAAATGCACATAAGGAAATGAAAAAGCAGGTTGCTATTTAAGATGGTGACTAGAAGCCATCTCAAAGCCTCCCCCTGTGCCAAAGTTGAACATTCAGAGCCGTGGAGTTACCTACTTGCACAAAATGGCACGCGCCGCACTCGGGGATGGGTTGTTACGGCTCCGTCCTCCCACCGGGGCGGGCAAGCACAAGCACACGGGGACTCCTGCCTGCACCGGCCACCAGACGTGCAGTTCTGTCATTTAACATCCATCCAGGAGCCACCGGGCCTCCACCAAGTCGGAGGAACCAGGTGCTTTCATGTCTCCACCCATGCAGCAAGGAGGATTTTATAAAAGCCTCGGGATGCATCCAGGAGCAGCGCAGAGATGCTCGGATGGGTGCTGAGCAGCCAGCACCACAGCTGTGCAGCTGCTGCTCTTGGGGCTGCGTGGATGAATTAGCTCACATCACTCCCTCAGCCAAACCCTCCTCTGCTGGGCTTGCAAAATTTAACACGAGACCCTCGTTCCCAAGCACTGAGAGCATGGAGTTCACTTTGCTGCTCGTGAAACAGCCACTCTGGGAGTGAAAAGTACTAGTGGTTGGAAGGGTCAGAGTGCCACCAGTTCTGGCCGTGCCACACTGCATCATGGAACAAGACAGAGCCTGATCCAACACAATCCGACACCTTGCCAACAGGAGTGGGATCCAAAATCACAATGTTCTGAAAAACGTGCCGAGCCCGGGACCCTCACAGGGAGGCGACCATCCTGCCTGGTCACTAACGAAGAAATGGAGGCAGCGTTGAGGGGACTGCTCCAGATCACACAGAATAGGATACAGAAACACAACCCTGATCCTGCAACCCTTTAGGGCTGCCAGGTCACAATTTTGCTCTCCCTAACTGGACACCACGAGGGAGTGTCATTCCCCTGGCAGCCAGTCCGTACACTGATGTGCCACTCCACGAAAGCCACATCACGAGCTCTCTGCGGTCCTCTCTGCAGGACAGCTGCGCTGCGCTAAGCCAGGCAAGCAATTTCAGGACAAGCACCCAACCCAATCAACCCCAAAAAACCTTTAAAACCAGAATCGGGCTGGAGATCAGCCGAAGCATGGCTGCCCACTGATGTATCCCTGGCCCAGCGGGGCCGCTGCTGCTCCAGGGTGGGGGCTCTCCCCTCCCAGATGCAGCACCAAGCACCCGCTGTCCCTGCAGACAGGCCCCTGGAAAGCAGAGTCCATGTTTACCTTGCCCCCTCCGGGCTGGTGCTTCAGGTTTTCAGTTGAGCCAATTTTGGACTTGACGTTTTTCAGATCAGGCATGGGTGCAGCTGACGGCTGGATGCGGCTCTTGGCAGATGCAGGAGATTTCGGTGGTGTGCGAACCACTGCCACCTTCTTGGGCTCCCTGGCTGGTGGGGTGGGCAGAGAGGGAGTGCGGGAACGGCTGCCTGGAGTCCCGGGGGAGCCGGGACTGCTGTAACCGCTTCTGTCTCCAGACTTTGGCTGCTCACCTGAAGTTTGCAGACAGAGGGAGGCAAGCACAGGATAAGCAACCTGGGCACACAACCCCTTCCCCACTCCCTGCCTGCATTTACCACCTCGACCTGCCCGGTCCCAGGGCCCCCCCACTGCTCCTAGTGCAGACCATCAGCAGCAGGGGGATGGCTGCACTGTCTTCTACTTCATTTTGAAGTGAAAACTGATTAAAAGCAATTTCCTACCATCTCAGAAGGAAGATGGTCTTCATTGGTAAGATTCCCCACCCGAGCGTGACATTAGCATGCATGACAAATTGCAGAGAAAAGACACTCAAACAAAACCCCTTTTCTATTAGAAACTTGGAAGCATTTTTATAAAATTATTTTATGTAATTAAATATCACTGAGCAGCCTAGAACTGTTCCCAGTTTGAAAAGAAATGGAAGAAGAAAAGAAAACCCTTAAACATCACCTTTCTCAGACTTTGCTGCTGCAGGAGGTGGTTTTTTCTGCTCCTTTCTGCCTGTTTAATGAATGAGAAAGATGCTTGAACATAATAAAGCTGGAAATTTAATTAATTTAAGGTTTTATGCAGCTCTAGTTAAGTATGAAAAACATGTATATTCAGTGAAATCCACTGTTTTAATGGAAATTCACAATGCCTGATGCTTTGTGGGGTTTTCTTCTCTGAGAATAATGGGCTAATCTCTGTTCCTGCAATCGAAGAATTGATCCTCTTGCCCCTGGTCTTTGTGAAATATTGTCAAGAGAAAAGAAATAGGTGGATTAAAAAAAACAGAGCTGCCTAAATCTTCCAAATTAGAGGAAATCCCAAAGGGATAAAGCAAGGGCCCTCTCTACACGCTGGCAACTATATGAAGAGAGCAGATAGAGCAACATCCAGAAAGGCTCCCTTCAGAATCCCAGAACCATCCGGGCTGGAAAAGCCCCTGCAGCTCCTCCAGCCCAACCATGACCCTCCCCCTGACCCTTCCCAACTCCCCCAGATCCCTCAGCGCTGGCTCAGCCCGACTCTTCAACCCCCCCAGGGATCCCGGGGACTCCCCCCTGCTCTGGGCAGCCCATTCCAACGCCCAACAGCCCCTTCTGCACAGAAATCCTTCCTCAGAGCCAGCCTGACCCTGCCCTGGGCAGCTTGAGGCCATTCCCTCGGGGCCTGGCGCTGGGGCCTTGGCTCCAGAGACTCATCCCCCCTCTCTGCCCCCTCCTGGCAGGGAGTTGCAGAGGGCCAGGAGGTCTCCCCTCAGCCTCCTCTGCTCCAGACTGAACCCCCCCAGTTCCCCCAGCCGCTCCCCAGCAGACCTGTGCTCCAGACCCTGTCCCAGCTCCGTTGCCCTTCTCTGGACACGCTCGAGTCATTCAATGGCCTTTTTGGGGTGAGGGGCCCAAAACTGAACCCCCTCAGCGAGGGTTGGTCACGTCCCTAGCTCTGCACCCACAGCCCCGTGACAAGGCAGAGCAGCTCCGGGTCACCACGCAGCCCTCGGCTCTGCGCATGACCTGACCTGCACAGGGGCACGTAACTGCATCCAGAGCCTGGGAGCTCCACCACAGCAGAGCCTCCAGAGTCAGAGAACTGTGGGAAGGCAGCAGCCCGCCGCTCTCACCATCACTTACCGGAGCTGGGAGGTGTCTTGGGGGCCGTGGGTGTCTTTGCTGGGATGCGCGTGGCATTGGTCGAGTTCCTCTGAGCCTGCCCGGCTGCAGACCGCGGCGTGGCCGCCTTCGTGCCACCTCTCATCTCTGGGCCCTGGGGGTGCAAGGGGGAAAGGTTGATGCAGGGGGGATCTCCCTGGGGATGGGCTATCACCCCTCATGGATCAGAGGCACACGAGACCCTCCTGCTTCCAACCCTGAGAGCCTGCGGGAGCTCCCGCAGGTCTCCCCACGTGCAGGCACCTGTGACGTGCCCGTTCACACCCCGTCTCCCATCACGGCGCCTGCCACAGCCGCCGCACCCTCGTGGGCTGGCAGAGGGGCTGGGACACTTTCCCACAGCAGCTCTTAAGCTTCAGTTACGTTATTCACCACACACTCAGGTTCAAAGTATGTTCAACTCCATTGTCCGTTCTCTAAATTTCATCATTTTGCTTCCCCTGTTCTGTTAAAGTTTTGTACAGAAGATAAAAAAATCCACTGACTAGCCTAGAGAGTCCATCACAGTGCCAGACACCAAACACAGGGAAGCACCTCCTCTATCTCCACCTGCAGTAACTGCTCCAACACGTACATCATCTCTAATGGCATATAAATAGCAATATGCTATTTACTGTCTTCTGATCCCACAGAAAAGCCTCCCCAAATCTATCACTTTCTAACGCTGGTCTGTGTACAAAAGCTCCTGGAAAACATTCAATTGACAATTTACAAGCTTACTGCTCCCAAGGCAGGAGGAAACCAGGGCAGAGCCATCACAATGCCCGTCGTGGTAAAACCATAGTCTGCAACCTGCAATCCCTGCTCTTCCCTCACCAAGGGTGTATTTGTGTGACTAAACACCACAAAGGGAAACTCCAAGCTACTCTTTACATCGTAGATTAAGCCACGGATGTCTGTGCATTTCCTATTCTCTGTGTAGCACCTGGCAGATCTGGCTCCAGCACATTTCAAACACATCTGCTGTTTACAGCCAATGCATCCATAAAACACAGCATAAAGCTGTAAAACAAGGAAGAGCATGAAAAAAAAGCATAAAGGGACCTGGAAATGCCTCAAGGAGACCAGATAACACCCTGCAGCAATGAGATATTTTTGCTGTACCACAAAGCAAGGTGAGACGTGCTGGTGAGACAGACCCAGTTGCTTCAAACACCAAAACTGGTGCCAAGTCTGGCCACAGCCCCTGGAAGGTGAAGGGGAAGCACAGCCCACCTCTCCACTGGATGGGGCACGGAGAGGCTGCCCAGCCAAGCACCTGTCAGGGATTCCCCAAGGCAGCTTTGCCTCTCTCACATCCCATTTCCTTACCTTGGCTTTTGTTTCTTGCGTTCCTGTACTGGCAGGTCGGGATGTGACAGAAGAGACTCGTTTAGAGGTGGAAGCAGGGCTGGAGGGTGTTTTCGAAGGGGTTGTGCTAGAGGAGGTGTGTCGTTTGGGGGGAATGGAGGGTCTATCGCCTGGGGGTTTGGCAGTGGAAGGTGAGGATTTCTTAAACATGGAAACAAAATAAAATTGGAACAAAAAAAAAATCAGTATGGGAGGGAAACAAAAGGGGATCACTGACATTAAATAGGATTAGAAGGTGCAATACAGAACTGGTTGTGGGGTAGGCAATGGCACTACCCTGCAGCACAGAGCTGGGCGCCCGGGGCACTGCCGGAGACCCACGGGATACCTCAGCTCTATTCCTCCCACGGGGTGCAGCAACACCCAAGCCCCTTTCTGGGGAAAGTGTCACTCCGTGACAGCATGCCCTTACCACCACCCTCCACACCAGTGGCATGTGTTAACATCTGGACTGTTCTATTTACTCCCAAACTCTCTGTGTGCTTCACTGGCAAAGATGCCTCAGGTACAGCACCGTCAGCACTGTGGGAGATGCAGGTGACTGCTCCCAGGTCTCTCAACCCCATCACAAACTGCTTTGTCAACAGTGGATGGCTGGTTTTTATCTAGATGTTTGCTTGGTGTCATGGAAAAAGCCTGGCCTGATACAACCTGCCAAATCTCCCTAGAGAAAGACCATATTTCACACTGTTTGAAAATAATTATATTCCTCACCTTTATTTCTTCACCCACTAAATCGTCCATCAGCTTGTCTGTTACCTCACCCAGGCACTAGCCAGGCTAATGGCCAGCTGAACTAAACCTCCTCCAAATTAGCAGTGTGACATCTTTAAACTTCTGGAATTTACCCACTATTAAACTCTGTTCCTCACCCAGAACGCGGCACCTGCAAGGCCTAGATTATTTAATTTTTAAATTAAGTGTCTTCCTCTTTTCACTGTTATGCTGCTTGTCCCCAGTACAGCACAACGCAGGTTTCAGTTTGCTTTTGCACCAGTTTGCCCCAGCAATGCCAGCTGTCTGCTTTCCAGTCTCGGGCTGAGAAAATGATTTCTCTAACCACCCACCCAACCCCATGAGCTACATTTTTGCTTTAGATTTGTTTTGCTTCCTTGCCCTCAAAGATCACCATGGATTGCACCATCCAAACCGGGGTGATGGGAGAAAAAAATTAAAACATTCTTGAAAGACAGATGGAAGGTAATGGCAAGGTTTCCTAAGAGGCACAACCACAGTCCAGGAGAGCGGGAGAGGGAGTCAGGAACATGCATTTAGTGGGTCGATGTTACCTCTGGTTTTGTTTTTAAGCTTACCTTCGGTTTCTTTTCCTCAGCTTCAGTCCCTTCCTTGTCTTTGCTGTCAATACGACCTGACAAATGCAAACACACACAGTTACACTTCTCGGGACTGGCCAGTGAACTCTAGACAGATGACAATGCCTGTACTACAGCAACATGCATGCTGGGTGGGTGTTCCATGTTCCTCCTCTCCTTTAATTTAGCTACTATTCTTAGAAATATTACAAAGTCACTCTTTCTTGCAAAAATACTTTCACATCGTAAACACATTCTTTCTGGGTTAACAGATTATCCTGTGCACAGGCAACAGCGTATTAGTCATCACTGGAGCATCAGACACACGCAACATGGTCTGTATGGGACCAATTTGCCCAGATTTGCACTCAGTTCCAGCAGCATCTGTTCAGTTTAGGACAGAACAGTTCTCTACAACCCTAAATATGAGTCTCCCTCTCTAAAACACCCATTGGTTCTAACAATTACGTAAGTAAAGACTAAAACTGAAGGATGCCCCAATCCTAGCAGCACCAAGATGCCCGTGATCCCATCTGAAGTTGTTTTTCGGAGTGTTAGCTTTGCAAAGCATTTTTATACCTGCCCGTTGTTAATTCCCATCTCTCCTGACACACTGCTTGCTGCGTCCCCAGCAGACAACACGCCTTCGATCTGGGTCAGACCCTGCAGAGTCTTAAGGTTTTAGCTCTTGTCCTACTTGATCGTATCAAGCTTACAGTGACTCTGACAATATTTCAGTGTTTTGTCCCATTAGTCTACAAGCACAACAGGCTGCAATATTGCTAATTAGGAGATTAGGAACAGGGAGGAAGTAATGTTTGTATTGTAAGGCACTCATAACAAAGCCCCTTTTCTCCATCTTCAGCTAATTCCTCCCTAATCTGGGAGGAAAAACTGTTGTTATTGTCCCCAGTGTTTTGGAAAGTTGTCCGGAGGGGGTCAGCCCTTTCCCAGTGACATGGACAATGTTTGTTAATGCAGCACTGACCCATCCCAGCAGCCACTCCCAGAGCTGCTGGATGCACTACCCCTTCTCCAGTTCAGTTAAACTGCAGACTGGAGCAAGGCTGGAGCTGAATAGCCACAGAGTATCTCTGTCTTGGGAGGAAAATACCATAAAATAATTTAAAAATTCCTCTTATTTAATCAGGAATTGGTTGACTCTGGGCAATGCATCCCCAACCCTTCAGGCTCTGATGAGAGTGACAGCAAGCCATGCCAATGCCCTGCAGCCCACGTGCGAAGCTTCCCGCTGGCTTATTAGGTAGTGAATGAGAAATATGTTATGAGCTTTAGCTCCAATGGAAAAAGCTACATCAACAATTTCTTCATGAACCCCGTGCAGCAAAGAGCACACTCTCTCTGCTGCAAACCAGAGCAGCATTTCCAGCCTAATGGAAGCAGCCAAGCCAGCTTTTGGGATGTGGCACTGGGGTGAAAGGCAGAGCCTCCCCCGGGCCAGGCCCTGGACAGCCAGAGCTGAGGTACAACACGGTGAGGCACCATCAGGTTTTAACGTGTGTCCTGCTGCCCCAGCTTATTAACACCACTCGATGCAAAACCTGCATTTGGCTGCTGAGCAGGGCCCCTAGTGACAGCCCCCTGACCCGCAGTGAAGGTGGAAAATAGCTCTTGGAAGAAGGTCTAAGAGCTGCTCTGCTGGTTCAGCGATGAGCTCAGACTTTCACCCAAGACAGTTAAGACTGAGATTGCTGCACGGAGCCATCAGCTCCAGTGTCTGACTGCCCTCCCAGCCTGGCCTAGCCTAGAGACACAGCAGCTGTTAGATGCACCCAAGAGCCAGGCCTCCACACACACAGGCAGCTCCTGCAGAACACCCCAGACACAGCCACATCGCGTTGGACCACCCAAGGACACGCTGCCCAGCACTGGGATCGGAGCGGGATGCTTTATCAGAGCATCAGACATGCCCGGCAGCGGGGGAAAGCCCAGCTAACTCCAAATCTTGCCTCCAACAGCAGTCAGTAGTGGATATTTAAGGGAAATACAAGAAACAGGACCGATGTGAGGCCTTTTCCATGGTCAGACCTGCCAACTCACTTGCCTTTTTCCTCCTCCCTCCTCTTTAGGAAAGCCAATACAAAGAGTTATTGGACCGGACAGCGGACACATGCAAACCAGATGGCACGTGTCTTGTTGGACCAAGCCGCAGCGTGCGCCGGGTTAGCCCCACTCCAACATGCCAGAACAACGTCCGTCCCGTCTTCATCTTCTCTGGGAAGGTGCCAGGTGTGAGTTAAGGTGCCCAGCCCACAGATCCAAGGAAATCAAAACAAAAACAGGTGAACAAAGCATGATCAGGGACGCGCCAGCACCATGCAAGGGACGCAAAACCGAAGCATAAGGGTCCGGCCTGTATGCCAGGATATCCAGGATTAAATTAAAGAGGGAAGGAGAGGGAGGGAGAAGCAGCGGCACTTTGTAGATCAGTTCCAGGCCATTTCCCAAGCAGCAGGATTGGAGAAGTGGCAGCAAGCTGAAGTACTGGTTCAGGCAGCCTTGTCGGGAGCAATGGGAGCTCAGGGCAGGCAAAGGTCACACACACCTTTTAGGAGAGGGACGCGACTGACGGCTTTGTCTGCACCATGGGCACAGGGTTTCTTCTTGGGCGTCCGCCGTTCTCCAGTATCTGGTACAGCCTCTTCCAAAGGAGCAGCTCTCTCTTCCGTGTCATCTTTTAACTCAACAGGGAGTTTGGCTGTTTCTAGCAAGGGTCCAGAATCTTCTGCCTCCCCAAGCTTCGCTTCTTTTTGGGAGATGACATCAGAAGGCTCTGAAGCGATGACATCTGTCTCTTCTTCCCCCCTCAGTGGCTGTCTCCTCCCCTCTTGGTCCTCTCCTGCTTTATGTGATTCAGTTTCAACACCAAGTGCCTCTCCGGGTATGTCTCTGAGGACATCTTTGGACTTGTTTTCTACAAAGGCATATTCTCCCAGATCTTCCTTGGCTGTTGCTGGACACAAGCCCATTTCAGGGCCTGGTGAAACATGCTGTCCCACCAGGGAAAGCAAATCCTGTTCAGAAGTTTCATCAATATCACGGTCCTCATCTCTTTCCCTGCCACTGACATCTTCTTTTAATGGAGCTCTGGCATATAAAGGAGATGGCCCATCTTTAAGAAGGGAGTCATCTGCACCACCCGCTCCTGCCAACCCCTCAGTGCGCACATCACGGCCCAGCTCTGTTCCCAGGGCTGGAGCCACACCAATGCCTTCTCTGCCTCGATGATCCCACAACTCATTGTTGTCTTCAGACGGCCTGGAGTCTTGGTACATATCCAGGGGTATTGGGATGGTGACCTCTATTCTGGTGGGAGCTGCTGTTGTAGCCTTCATTTCATGAGACAGAAGAGGCTGCTGGAGAACTCCAGCTCCTTGCTTTGTGGGCTGGCTTTCTCTTTTTATGGCATCTCCCACACGCTCCTGATGGCCAGGCTGTAGCTTTGGAGAGCTTGGCTCCCCTGGAGTTGAAGACGCGGGGTACGAAGCATGGGCACACAGTTAGCACAGGCAGGTCAAATAGGAAGTCAGTCACGTAACGCTGATGAAAGACTAAGGATTTCTACTATCCGTCTAGAGGATAAAACCAAATCCACACTGCCCCATTGAATGGACAACTTACTTCTATAGTGGCTCTTACCTTTAAAAATATTTCTGATCTCATGGGAATCAGGAACAGTGACAGCCACAACATGTGGGAGACCACACTCCTCCCTGGACCTGCTCTCGGAGGTGGCTGGGGTATCCAACCACCAGTTTCTGTCTCTATGAGCTGGTTTAGCTACAGAAGTTTTCAGAAGCCAAGAACACACCCATTTTCTAATCTTACACCACCACTGGACCACCAGTTAGCTGGTCAGTGACCACCTCTTTCTGCCTTAAGAGCCTGAAGAAAACAGGCCAGACACCCTCACAGGCTTACAAAATCCCTACAGTCCTCCCTTGCAGGAGATGTTCATGCAGACACGGCACCAGTCACACCCTCTCAGAGCTCAAACTATCTCTCTGCTTTGTTCTCCAGATCATTTCTATTGCTAATGAGCTTGGGGAAGAGCACTGCTATGTCTCCTCTCTTATTGCTGTGTGTTTCAACAGCCTCAGTGGAAAGGACTCGCAGTAAAAATGTGGCTGTAGCCACACCGCCACAGCAATTTTGGACTGTGCACCCACTCAGACCAATCAGAGCTCCAGTGCTGCTGCCACCATTTGGGTGGAGTAGAAAGTGTGACCTTTAAAGCCCAAAACTTAAGGTCACAGAGACACAGAAGACACAGATCTCTTTTTTTTTTTTTTTTTTGGTGGGAGGGAGGTAAAAGAGACAATTCTGTTCAATCGCTGATCTCATACATGACACAGACTTTTGCAATTTCTCCCAACAATTGCTGCATTAAGCCACATATTCTAGTTGAGCTGGAGCTTTTCTGTTAGAAATTTATCCAACTGAAGCAAAGATGCACTAAGCAACAGAGAATTCACCCTGAATATAAGTAAATTGCTTTGAAGTCAACTGCCCTAGTAAGACTGTGCATCTTAAATTATGATTTTGTCCAGCTTCAAATACTCTTTAGACTTTTTGAGCACTGATCAGGTAAACTAAAGAGCCTGGATCACAGCACTTCAGTACTGAGATCTCGATTGTTGCTTTGTTAGATTAACAAGATTAAAACAATAAAAGGAGTCTTTTGGTCTTTTATCGGTGTTCTCTGCATTTTGAGAGAATATAATGGTTATGTGAAACTACCACACAAAGACATCTGAAATTATGCTTTAAAAGAAATCTTAAATTGGCACCTATTGACAGGTAATATTTGAGATGTGGCATCAAAAACATCTTTTACAAGCACAGGGATTTGAAGGGTGTTTATATATTAGCCAGCAGATTGTCCTGGCTCATTTCTTCTGCAAATGAACAGCATGACCGTTAACGACCGCCGGCGTAGGGCTGTGGACACTCGGTTGCTCAGCTGGACTCCCAAACTCCGGGACCCTTGGGTGGCTCTGAGGCAAGCGTGCAGCACAAGGTCAAGAGCCAGCAGAACGCCAACACAGCACTAAATGTGCATCGGGAGATGCTTCTCCATCTGAGACTCCAAAGGCATTTTTAAGACGTTTCATCTTCACTGCAAAGATCATTTTTTCAAATCCCACAACAGGAAAAATGAAAGTAGCAAGTAATGAGACATCCAAGACTGTGTGTGTATCAACCACCACATTTTTCCCCAAATCAGAGAGAACCATTAAAAGGAAGCAGCATGTTATTACAAGTCAACTTTCAGAGAAGTAAAAATTTACATAAGAACCTAGAAATGTCATATGTAAGTCATACCAGAGCTCCAGCTAGCTCTATGTCCCCATCCCCATATGACAGCTGAAAGATCCCAGGACAGTACAAAAAGATTTTATTGAAAATCTGGTGAGAAACAGCAGTTAGAACCAGACTGAAAAAGGAGACAGAACTTCACCACCCTCCTGCTAACAATCAATCTTTCTTTTTTGTAGTGGTGCCACGATTTTAAATACAGAGAGTTGCTAGTCCAAGAACCACAGGCAAGCAAAGGTTTTATTTTAATTGCAGGGAGCAGACTGCACATAACTGTGCTCATCTGTGTGTGGAAAGCAAAACCAACCTGAATTCTGCCCTGAGCTGAGAAGGCAAAGACCTATTTACTTCTTTAAAAGACACGATATCTGTAAATGCACTAATGCAGCCATGAGGAGGCAAGACGCTGCCCAAACAGCTGGAGGAATGTATGTCTGCTGCACAGAAAACTACCTTACAAAATGGGGTTTAACTAGGGTTTTAAAGAGCACACCAAATTAGCTCTATGGCCTATTAGTGCTAGCAAGACAGCAATATCAAAGTGAGTCTGAACCCATAAGTCTGCCCCATTGGGCACAGAATTAAGCTACCACTGGGTACTTTGGGAAAATCCCATCCTGAATTTTCCATCAAGTCTGAATGGAGCAGACTCAAGAGAGGTTTTCCAGATAACCAGGAGGTCCCTGGGTAATTTCTTGGCTCATCTGAGCACACGCACAATTAATGCTCTAAAAACACTCACGGCCCACCATGACTGGCTTTGTCAGTCATGTTCCCCAAGACTGGGATGAGAAGAAAACACCCTTAATGTTAAAGTCAGAGCATCAGTGAGTAGGTTTTGTTTTACATTAGAAAGAGAGACAGTACTTAAACAACTCACTTATTTCACCTGTGACACGCAGGGCCCAAAACTGATTCTGTTCAATGCTGAGCAGTTCCTCCAGGCTAACTGCACCACCCTGGCTCTGTTTATTACCTTTCCTAGCCTGAAGGATGCCCTGTGTTGCAAACCAGACAAATAAGCACCAGGGCTTCAGCCATCTGAGAGAGAAATTTGGTGCATGAAAAGCTGCAGTTTCCTGAAATGAGTATGTTGGAACATTCAGAGCATGTATGACCCTCCCCTGTCAGGAACAGGGAGAACTGCACAACTGCTTGTATAGTGCAGAGCATTTGCATTACAGAAGAAAATTCCCAAGCCACTAGCAACCAGCCACACGTGTGGGCAGCAATAACTGGACCCCAGTGACAGGTGATTCACTAACCTTGAGCAGCATCTCCTGCAGCGTGGTCCTCCAGGTTGGGGGTGGCTCCTACGCCCGCCTCCTCAGCTGGTCCCAGTTCAGAGAAAGAATGGGAAAAACATGATCAAAAGAAGAATTAAGTTTAAGCGTGTGTCTGGAGAATGTATTTACCTCCCATCAGTGCTGTTTTATGAGCAGGGCAGCAGAGACAGGAAATCAACTCATGCTGATGATGGATCTAGGCAGATCTGTTCAGCCTGTGCTGTACCAGACTGGAGGATTAACCAACCCACACATCCTGGGTGGCAGGTTAGTACAAGCTCCTTCAGGCAGAGGTGCAGAGAACAGGCTGTTAAGGAGCAGGGAAACTTCTGGATTTATATACCCCTTTTCTACCCCCACCTTACATTTGCGTTACCAGCAGCACTCACAGCAATGTCTAACTCTTACCTGAGCCCTACCTTCTTGGCGTCTACTACCCAGCTTACTGTAAAGAACTCAGCCGAGGCTATCTAAGACCGGTAAATCTAAGTCTGGTACAAACCTGACACTTCAGGAATACTGGTACATTAGAAAAGCATAATTTTCTTCACAGCAATGATGATTTGTCTCTGTAAGAATTTTTTTCAATTTATTGTATGACTACTTTCCAACTGGCTTCATCTATTATATATGTATGTCACAGTTCAACAATCAAACTAGGACTTTCTCTGTTTCCCCCATTTTTTTTCCAAAGAGTTCAGGACACACTGCTGCTTCCTGGCTCCCTGGTGCAGTCAGAGCTTGAACCAGAGACTGCACATCCTTGCTAGCAGGCCAGCTCTGCATTTCAGCCCAGGGCTCCACCAGTAGCCTGGGGACTGGATGCAGGACAGACAGTTTGGCTGCCCAAGGGAGCGTGCTGTGGGCTTGTTTCAGTGTTTGGGCACTAGCAAAAGCCCATTTCCACCCACTACCTTTTCTCAGGTCCTGCCTGATGCTTCCAGAAAAAAGCCGGTGGCTACCACACAGGGGCCACATACTCATTTTTCACACACACAGACCTGACTCTCCCAGGGGCTCCTGCCTTCTCGCACACACACAGCACTGCTGCAGCTCACTCCCTTCTTCCTCTGCCCCTGAAAGTCCTCCATCCCTCCCCAGAAAACCAGGCCCAGGTGCAGTGATTCCTCACAGAGCATCCAGGCTGAATCTGCTACTTGACTTCCCCTGCATTATCCTTAAAACACGCTGGCAGCCACAGAACTGCTGCAGTGGCCTGGTTTTCACCTGCCGCTTCAAAGACAACCGCATGGGCTGGGCTGAGCGAGAACACCAGCGAGACAAGCAGCAAGGTCCTGCGGTGACTGCCTCACCTCGCCAGCAAAGCAGGGCTGCTGGCAGAGGGGCAGAGATGACTGGGATCTGCAGGTAAGCACTTAGCCTGGAGATGGGAGGCGAAGCCACCACAGATAGAAAGATTGTCAGATGTGGAGCTGAGAAAAAGAGAAGAAAAGGCTGCGAGTCTCCCCCAGGATGGGGAAGGTAAGAGGACAATTGTAAGCTAGGAATTATTTCTGCAGGCCGTGGAGAAGAAAGAAGCACGTATCAGGAGCAAAGCATGCCTGCAAGAGGTTTTGCAGTGTTATTTTTAGGCACTAACCAGTCCAGCTCTCTGCTCTGTCTGCATCAAGAGATGAAACTGCACCTTGGTCTCCCTCACCTGTGGTTCCTTCTGGGATCTCCCCGTGCTGTTCGACACCACCCTGATCCTCGTGGTCTCCTTCCTCCACTAAAGGTGCTGTGGCATCTGAAAAACAACGCAGCTTTCACATAGCCATTGAGTGGCAAAACCCTGCGGAGGCCAGGACATGCCTGAAGAACTTTTTGCTCAGAAAAGCACCCGAGTCCCTCCCTTGAGCCAGTGTTTGTGCAGGGAGAGAAATGAGCATGAGACAGCAGGGACACCATGAGCTGTCTCCTCTGCCACACAAACCTCACATCTCCAGCACAGTCCTTATGCAGCTGAAGGCTTTACCATAAACACTGTCTGAGAAGGCACAGCTAAAGGCAGCCACTGGTGCCCGATCTGTGTGCACAGAAATGCTATCTGCTTGGGGACATCACTGGTCTGGAGCAGGAAAGAACAGCTCCCGTTGGATACCTTCATAAACCGTTCGAGCACTGCGGCTGAGTCACGCTCTGGGCAGCTCTGGGACTGACAGATACCTGGCACCATCTACCAGAGGAATGTCTGCTCATCATGACAGTCCCAATCCAACAGGAAAGAGGGACAATATCCCCTTCTGCACCAGCCAGGTTTTACGTACTGATTTCTTGAGCCACATACACAGGAACAGAGCTGCTTCACAGACCAGCAGTTGGCCTACACCTCCAGTGGGACAGGGCTGGAATTGGTCAGCATCTCTGTCAACCTTTCTTTTAGATAAATTTTGCAAACTAATGCCTTTACCTGAAGTCTCCAAGAGGCAGGTATTTGGGATTAAAGCAGCCAGAGGAACACAAAAAGTGTAGTTAATTAAAATGGTGAACAAGTCTCTAGACCACTTCAGAATTAGATTCTTTCTACAAACACGGCATTCAGAGAACACTCTGGAGCAGCACTGACATGCCGAGTCCTACATTTATATCAGCACAGAGTTTTGTTTTATGTATAGACTCTGCCCATCTCATCACTCCAGCATGACTCATGCTGTAATAATGAACATGTAAAAATGGAGGGGGCAAAACCAGAGCTATGGGGGACAGCTAACTCTGAAAGGGAACACAGCGACCAGGACGTGCTGTCAGTATCTTGGGGGAGCACAACGATGCAAACCTCTGGCCCTGGGAGCACACAACATGGGATTGTTCCTGGCCGCGCTGAGCTAACAGGACCTTGCAGTCACTCTGTGAAAAGTCTTCAGGAAACAAACCACAAGTGTCTTCCTGAACTATAATAATAAACACTTCACCTTTTCTTGACTTCCAACCCACTGTCCATCTTTAAAGCTCACTATCTCATTCTGCAGAGTGGCATACATTGCTTGTGATGAGACTAGTGAAGAGCATTTGTCCAAGAGTGCAGACACTCCTCCTGAGCAACCCCACCAGAACACGGCACAGCGAGTCTTTCGGCAAGGTTTACCACGACCCCATCCATCATGGTTTCAAAGCAGTAAGTCAAAGAGCTCCCACCTTCCGTAGTTGGGGTGCTCTTAGCGTCAGATGTTTCAGAAACAGGCTCATCCGATCCATCATCGACTGGTATCTGAAGGGGATAGCCTGGAAAACATTCAAATACTTAGAACAAGTCCTTGGCTATGAATTATGGCCTCTGAGTTATGAACTCTGATTGCCCAGATCCACAGCAGCAAGAAACTCTAATCGGAGAGTATAAAACACCTGAACTAATAAGCAAGCAAAGCGTGAAAATGCCAACCAAAAGCACCAGTGTCATCACCAAAAGGAACAAGCAGAAACCCATCGGCAAAAGAAAAGCCCAGTGAACCGGACAGCTAGAAACAGCAAAGCATGGCACAAGCAGGAAAGGAGATCTTAGCAACGTAAGCAGAAAAGATGTACAACTTGTGAGTCACTGTTGTCCTCTGCCATTCCTGGAGCCATTAGCCTCCCTCCCAGAGCAGGCTGCTGAAAGCTTCCACGATGTGTTAATTCTAATCATTGCAAACCAGCAAGTCTCTGTACAGGGCTTGGTGTAGCACATTGGGCTTCTGTGCAACTTGGTTGCAAAAGTCATCTTTTGGAAGAGCAGGGCAAGAGGCTCGAGTCTCCTCTCTGCAAGGAGTCTGGGCAAATAAAATAACGAGAACTGAAGAAAACGACTTGGAAAAGAAGATTCAAACTAATATAAGCAAAATCCCTGGGAACCTGTGATGTGCAAAGCTAAGGCTACACGCTGAGAGGAGCTATCAGACTGAAATGCATTACAGAACCTGGCATGAATGGATGCTATGGATTCTCTCCAGAACAGAGACAATCCATTTATCTGGTGTAAGCTGTGTCCAAAACACCTCAAGAAAAGAAAATTAAGATGATGTTTATATGGAGCGTAGCTGGGAGTGAGTCCCACCGGGTTTGCTGGCTTTACATGGGTTTCCAAGCTCAATTGTGGAGCATGGTGGAATGAGAAAGGAAAGGCTTCTCGAGAAATGCAGGTCTGAAATACGGGGCAAAAGACTCTTGCATGGCCCCTGCTCCCAGAGCTCTCGGTTCAGTTCCCCCCATCTCCCTGTGCAGGTGAGAAAAGCAGGCAGCAAGCAGCACCCTTGAGCTGTGTCTCCAAATAAAAGCAGTGCTGTATTTTTATAGCAAACTAAGGAGTGAACACAGAAACACACATTTGCAAAGCTTCAGCTATAAGATCATCACGAGTCTGGATACTAGGGGTTGTTCTGCTCTTGCTGGGCAATGATATCAAACAGCAGCATTTTCCTACGACTATGAACATCAGAGCATCTTGTGGGCTACCCACTGCCCACTGGCTGCAGCCAGCTGATCCACAGTAACCTTCTGACACACATACCACCTCCTCCTGGCTGTCCCCAAGGACGCTGGCCCTGCTCTCCCCACTCAGGTCACTCTCAGGTCCTTTCCACCATCTCCTCCTGGAGGTGCTCACCTGATGGGATGTGCTTCTCCTGGCCAGCTGCGTGATCCTCCATCATGGTGACGTCCTGACGCTGCTCCGCCATCTATCAGCAAAGTTACCTGAAGAGGAGAGGAAAAACAAACACCCGTCAGGCAAAATCTGACACATCTGGAGCCCAGCTGGTGCGCTCCCATCTACTGCTCCACCAGACAATTTTGGTTGGTCAGACAATTTCCAGGAGCATTAAATATCCTCTTGCAAGCAATCAGCCAACACCAGCCAACAGTCTTTTCAGCCACTGTAAGAAAATACCTACTTTGTTCCCTTTTCCTGACGAGCCCTGAAATCACACCACTGTGCTCAGGGAAGGTCACAGCTCAAGATACATGTTACCTATTGGATTTCATACCATGCTGAAATACTCCCTGGAGCATCTAATGCTAGTGCGTCCAAATCCACCGGGAGCATGTTTTGTCTGCAGTCATCAAATGGAGGAGGACAGTGGGAAGTGAGTGCTAACATGCCAAACTGGGATCTAAAAGGCTGTCCCAGCCAGACACCACTCTTCAGCAGAGCTGCTCCAAGCTCTCGGCATAGGTCAAAGGACAGAAAAAAATTCACCTATGGGCACGAGCCAAAAGGAGAACACAGATTTTGCATAAAAGATATATAAAGGAGCAAATGTTCCTTGTGAACAAAGGGAAGGTCTAATTATTCCTGCACAAGCAAAACCATGTGCCAGTCACTGCATCCATCACAACAGGATATAGGCAAGTTCTGTCCAGATGCAACTTCAAAAATTCCACAGGTATTTAAGATGTCCCAAGGAAAATGACCATTCTGGTGCACACAGGACACTGCTTGGCTACTGTTTTGTCACAGGTGACCACCAGGAGCAGCAGGTAATTCTGCTGCATGCTCCAAACTCTGCCACTTGAACCAGTCTCTCAACAGCAGTGTCTGCTGGCAAGGCGTGATGCTGCTGCGGGAAAAGATGCCTTCTACCCCTATGGATACACCCAGCAGGGAAACACGGCTCTAACAATACAACAGCTGTCTAAAAATCAAACCAAAAGTGACATTCAGGGGTAAACCAGGACTCTCCAGAGATGGATTTGGACCAGGCACTCTTAGAGAAGAGGGTCTTGCTTGGTTGTGGGTCTGAGAGGGCAGCACAAGGGCTACTCAACCTGCTACTTCTTGCAGTGCTCAGGAAGCCAACACCACAGTGTTGAGTGAATAGGTCTGGGCGCTGAAGTGGAAGTAGAAAGGTGTTAAAATTCAGAGTTATTTTTCTAATGTGCGTCTATCTGCAAAAGGAAATGAAGTCGCCAACAAACATTATCTGCTTCTGCGAAGCAGGGACCACGTTTCTCCTTATTGTCCATGCTGGTTGGACAGACATTGCTTTTAGTTGACTTCCTAATAGCTGATATAATTACAGCCATTGGCAGTGATTAATAACCAGCTATTAGTGTAATCGCACATTTTCCATGGCCATCAGGAGCGAATGAATCCAGCAATGAAGCTCAGGTTACCAGCAGCAAGGAGGCAAACTGCTGTGGATTTGTTTGCTGGCAATAGATTAACTGGATATATGGAACTACGCAAGAGAAACTCCAATGCTAGTAACCAGATCTCTCACCCAGCTTTTTTTAAGCCTTAGCAAGATGACTATGCAATTTAATTTCTGCCTAAGACAGCCGCAAAGCCATTTGACAGATCTGTACCAAGTAAGTTCGAGAACTTGCCCTGAAAGGAAATCACTCATAAAACTGGAGGTATAAAACAGGAAATAATTAAGTACCTAATTTTTGTTCCTAAAATGGTGGGCCCTAATTATTTGGACATATGGCTGCCCTCCTCCCAGAGCTCAAAGGATCATATTGATGATATCCTGATGTCATCTGGCTGCTGCTTGATATTATTTACAGGTCTGTGTAGCACTGAAATACGAAAATATAATGTTAACCTCACGTACAGGGCACACATCCGGGGCCGGGTACAAGCAGCTTTCTCCACACGCTGCCCTATCTGTCGGTAGGAAAACATGGATGGGAGAAGCAGTTCCTACTCCACTCACAACTGGTGGTTCCTAACAGCCCTCCCAACCCAGCTCAGTTCACTAAACATCTACAGATATTTACATCTTCGCTTCCCAACTGCAGATCCAGAGGCAAACCCCTCACAAATCTGGTGGCTGGATTTCAGTGAGGCTGTTTCCTTATTCTGCCTCCTTTTCCCTCCTCCTCCCACCTGTTTTTTTGGAGAAGAGCAATTAGTGTCTTCCCCAATCTCTCTGAAAAGATACATTTAGTCCTTTCTTGCCTCTGGACAGGAATTTCCTGGGACACCGTCCAGAGAGGACTCCCAGCCTGACAACTAGTAAACTCGTATGTTCCACCAGAGGTTCATCTCTGGCTCCACGGGCAGCACTCGACACAGCCAAAGATCTTCCACTTTTCCTCTGAATAGAGCCTTTTGCATCTGTTCCATCCTGGCACAGCAGCAGGGAGCCATGATTCAGCAAAGGCCAGTGGATCTGCTGGCGGGCGCAAGGGGCCGCCTGGTCGCACAGGGCTGACTGTCACCCTGTTTCCCACTGACCTGCCAGGGCTTTTCAGCACAAAGAAATGGCTGGGTGTTTTTCAGAGAAGCTGACGATCTTGCTATCTGCCCAAGCTTTGCGAGAAGGCTTTTAATGCTGTGCTGCTCAGAGCCAGGCAGAGGCAGCTCCTGTTCCCACTGAGCTCCATGCTTGGCAGGATGAGGCCGTCTCAGAGGTAACGGACTGGAGGTGGACTTGGAAGGTTGAAGCCATTAATTTTGCAGAGATAAGAAAGAGCTCCCTTTTCTGTTACAAGGAAAAAAGCACACCCAAAAATCACAAAGATCCATCCAAAAACCACTCAGTGGGACCCTGAGAGCACCTGAAACCTGGCTGCAGCTCACAAAACACCCTGGACACTCATTCACTCGGACACAGCGATTCTGGGGGCTGACGCCCGGTTTGCTACGGAAAACAGGAACATCTCTCAGCAGATGAAGCACAGCGTCCTCCCGCCACGCCTGCAGCACAGCAGGCAGGGAGCAGAGTCACCCTGCACCTGAGCCACTGCGTGCAGCAGTCAGCGGTGGAGAAGAACAAAAGCCCCTCCAACTGGCATGAGCCAAGGGGCAGGGAGAGGGATCCAGCTCCCACACGGTTCCCACAGCATCTTGCTTTTAGCAGAAGAAATGCCCACTCAACAGATGCCTCTCTCACAACGCTGCCCCTCCCGTGTGGCTCGGGAAGCATTTCCTACAGCTTGCCCTCCGAGGCCTGCCAGGGCTGAGATTTAAACCCATTACAATAGGGCTGATGAAATTCCATCAGCACCAGATAAGCAAATAAATAACATTAAGCGCACAAAGCGATTCAATGGGTAAGTACAAGTGAGCCGCCACCACCATTATCTCTAAGCTGCAAAGCTCTCCCAGCAGAATTTGAAATACACAGGCCATATAATCATACAGTCCTATTCACCAGGAACATCATCTATAAAGATATTTTATGCCTCTCCGATGGATGCTGAACTTCATTCTCTCCCTCTTTCTTTTTCATCCATTGTAGATGTCAGCTAAAAGCATTGCTCACTCAAAACTGTACTGATGATGCACACAGTTTTGGGACAGATCTGTCCTGTTGAAACCAAGAAGCAAAACTGAATTGCCTACATGCAAACCCCTTCTTATTCTAGAGGGAAAGTCTCAGCTTTGCTCTGGGTTTTCACTCAGGTAATATATTCATATGTCTCAAGAGAATTTAAACCTTACTAAAATCGCGTATTTTAGATTAGACTTCTTAAAAATGGTCTGAAAATTGTGCATTTGAGAAACTACTTTGAATTCTGAAAACAGTCTCTTACTGATAATCCTACTTGTTTTTCTTTTGCAGCGGGGGAAGGGGAAATCCCTCTTAGGGAGAAACATATCATTAAGGGAAAAAAACATTCTAAAAACTGTAAAACCAGCCCCACCTTGACGCAATAGTTCAGTAATGAATAATTACAGCAAGGATAGCTGCGCCGAGATAAACTTTGGCAGCACCCTCTGTATGACAGATAAAGCACAAACCCTCCTAAGAATCTTATCCATTTCCAGCAGAACTATTCCTGTTAACCAGGGACACTATCTAAAAAGCAACAGCCTATCCCACAATTAACAGCTCCTCCAAACCTCGCATTTTTCAAACCCGCAGCCCGCCTTTGGAGAGAGAGAAAAGCCGTACTGAGCAGACATTTTGAGCTGTGCAACAAGGCATACGAGGAGGGAAGTAGGGGGGCAAAGTTTTTGTTGCCAGGAGCAGGAGAAAGGGGCTGATTTCTGGCAGTGTAGGCTCAGCCCACCAGTACCTCTGGTGCTTGCTCTGGACGTGCAACCTCGTTAGGGCCCTGAGCAGAAATAGTTTGTCCAAAAGGGGATTCTAACCAGTGAGAGTCCGGCCCATCTCCTGCCACCAAATGCAAGTGCTTTGCCATTGACACCAGCGTTGAGATGAGATGCAGGCTGGCACGCAGCGTGTTTCGCTCCCAAGCTTGGAGCTGCTTTCCCAGTGATAAAGGGTTATAAACCGGCTGCCAAGCCTCTGACTGCTTTGAAAGTTAAACATTGCCACCTCCACCCTCAGGCCGGTGTAACCTGGAGAGGAGCAGGTATTCCAACGTGCTGTAAGCAGGGGGGCTGGGGGTGCGTGTGGAGCCATCGGTGGAGCAAAGGGAGCGCAGGGCGGCTTGTGGCGTGCGGTCTGGCTCCAGATGCCACCACCCGAGCTCAACATTGAGCAACCAGGAACAACTCCCGAGCATTTCAATAGCATTTCACAGCTGAACCAGGCACCAGAACAGTCCCTGCAGGCCTGTGTTGTATAAAATGTTAGGGGCTAAAAGCCAAAACAGCAATTTACACCCCAAAGAGCCCAAAGCACGCAAGACCACGTGTCCAGTGAGGACAAGCCTTAAGTAAAAGGATGCAAACCTTTAATAGCCATTGACAGCACTGAAGTTTAGGTCAGGAAGTGAAAGCTATTAGTCAGTTCAAGGTCCACAACATACTTAAAGAATTAAAAAAAAAAAAAAAT